CCGCAGAGCGCCCGCCGTGCGCGTCCCGAGGAGGGTCTGCGCGGCGTCCCGTGGAGCCCTGGGGGACAAGCCATAGAGGGTCAGGGACATCCCAGAGAGGGTTGAGGGGCGTTCTGAGGGGCTGGGGGACACCTCACAGCCAGCATGGGAGACATCCCATAGAGGGTTGGGGGTCATCCCACAGGAGGTCTGGGGGGATATCCCACAGCAGGTCTGGAGGACATCCCACAATGGGTCTGTTCCATCCCAACAGGTCAGGAACATCGCACAGCAGGCCTGGGGAGATGTCCAATAGCATGTCAGGGACATCTCACTGCAGATCTGAGGTTTGTCCCAAAGCAGTTTGTGGACTTCAATCCAGGTCAAGTGGACATCCCATAGTAGGTCAGGGGGACATCCAATAGCATGCCAGGGACATCGCACAGCCAGTCAGGGGCCCTCTCACAGCAGGTCTGGAGAACTGATGCTGAAGACAGCATCCTATGCATGGCAGCTACTTCTACTTTTGGGGGGGGAGGGTGTCCTAGCTCAGCACATTTCTGGTGGCAGTGTCCGTGTCCCCACAGCTCATGTCCCTCAAGTCTCCTGTCCTGAAGGCAACTCAGCCACTCTCTTTCTGCAGGCCTCAGCATAGACTCGTTGCTTGCATCTTCACACTGGTCCTAGCACCATCCACCTTGTCCGAGGCACAGGAACATTGAAGCAGGTTTGCCTCAAAGAACTGAAGACCACCCTATCCTTAAGACAATGTGTGTTTGCCTCTGCAAGTGACTCGTGCTAGAGCTACACCACTTGACCAAGCTAATGCCATGGGCAAATGAGTAACGGACACTACTGATAGGAGCCCCTGTCTCCTCTGTGGGGAGGACATCAGAAAAGCACAGACAGAGGCCATAGGTGGTCAGAAACACAGACAGGGAGGACCACACATGTGGAGGGCACAGACTGCGTGAAAGTCCAAGGTAGCGCAGCGGAGACACACACGTGTCAAGTGAGGTGACTAGTGACCAAGGGATGTGGAGGCGGGAGCCACAACCACATCTGGAGTCACTCTTTGCAGCGGGAAGTTGAGCACATCATTCCTGCAGATAGTCTGCTGCCGATGGATTTTTCCAGCTCTTTTTTTTGCCAAACAGGGAGGCCGAGTCTTTGCAGAGCTCAAAAGCTCAGCTCCTTTGGCTGAAGTGACTTTAAAAGCAGTTGAAAGGGAACATACAATACACTTATTGTCTCTACAAAATCCTGGTTAGTTCAATTCTGGTCAGGCGCTGTCGAATCGATTTGTTGGAGGGTATCCCCTAAGGGGGGCAGTCTGTCTGGTGGTGTTTTCATTACGATACTCAGCTTTTTTGGTGTTTATGACTGCGTCGTAAAAATACACTCAAGACAAATATGGTCTGAGCAAACAGATCCTTACACCAAGGATACTGTGAAAGCAAATTGGGACAGGCCAATTTTAATGCAGGGATATTAAAAATAGCTGGGCTATATCCCCAGTCGTTGCAAACCTGCACAACTGGCTTGAACTGCTGCCGCCTTCAACCATCGGAAGCTTCTCATCTCCTATAATTCTTATTTGTAATCCAGAAACTGAAAATCAGTTTAGCATGTGCAACATTTTCATAATTCCCAGCGTTCAGAATTTTTACAAGTCAGACTATCATTTTCAAATCTAACCCTGCTGATACTTCAAAAATATTACAAAGTCAAAATGAATGAAAAGAGGAGAATAGGAAAGAATTGCGGTCAGTTTTATGTGCAGTTAGACATTCTTTTTAAAGTAAGCCACTGTATTCAAAATACACGATTTACAGAAGGTTGCCAGGTGTCTTTCAGCACTTGTCCCCCCTGCCCTGGGCAACCCCTGCACTGCCAGAAGTGCCTCGTGATCCTAGAGTGGGCAAGAAGTTCATTCAGCATAGGCACATTTTTTCCTTTTTTTTTTTTTTTCTTTCCTTTCAGCAGTTATTTGCTGATCTTACAATTTTCCTCCATCTTTCTCTAATAGACAGTTTCTGAATTTCAGACTGTCATTACCTCCCAGAACACTGTTTGATCACAAAAGCAATGAAAAATCCCCAGACCATGTTAAACATAAGTCTTCATGGTGCTCCCCTCATAAACACAGCAGAATTTCAAAAGTCTCTGTATTCGTTTCAAGCCACTTGGAAGCCAAGCTCCGTTTTACACCTCTCCATTTCAAAGTTTTTTGCACAGTCATTGCTTTTTACCAAACTGATTCATTCTGAAACACGTTTTTTAAAGTATCGCATTCTATCTTTGTTGAACCAGTAACAAAAATGCTTCCACGTTCTCCTTTGTGGCTTGAGCTGTTGCTTTTTAATCTGAGGAGAATGGGAAAAACTATGGAAAGTGAATTACTTTGCTCCATTTATGCCACTCAAGCATTTTTCACTTTGCTGCTGTGGGAGGTTGCACCAGGGCAGGGTGGACACGAGTCCAGGAGCGAACCCACCAGGTCCCATTCTCACAGTGCCTTTACAGACCCATTAAAAGACAGCTTTCTCTACAATAAAAACTCCAATATCAAAAATAGGAAATATCGTTCTAAATTAATCACAACACTTTACATATGACACAATAAGTTAAGACTCACCTAAACCTTCAACTGATTTTAGAAGCAGAGCGAAATACCTATTTTTAGCTTTCAATGCCATTGGTAGCGCTCTCTAATTCTTCTTGAAGCCTCAATTTTGCTGCAAGCTAACTGCCTATGAGTAGGCATTCAAATAATTATTTGGCCTATTCAAGTGATAATGTACTATAGAGTTCACAGATTTCTGAAGCATAAGAACATGAATACATCAGCTCTCTATAAAGACAATTTTCTCACAAAAGAAATGAGAAAAAGCATATAATGTGAGACAGGAGAATTAACTTTTTGTCCTAAGAAGTCCATTAATGACTACAGTGTCTAGTTTGTCTTTCACACTGTGTATCCAACAACGGGCTGGCTTCAGTGAAAAGCAGTGCAAATTCCAGGCTCCAATGCAAGGTGGCAATAGGCATCTACAGGAGATGCTCATACAGATTTGTGTAAGGATCCTGTTATATTGGATTTCTCGTCAATTCTTTTTTTTTTTTTTTTCCTCAAGGAAAGCTGGTACTCTGGGTTGAGATGCTGTCCTTCTCTCCCTTTCCATTTTATACAAACAATTAACATTAATTAACAATAATTAAGAGCAAAATCAGGACAAGAACCAATTCATCCCATTTCACAGGGACTTGGCTTAAGAAATAACTTGTTCCTCTGTCTCAGGGACTAGGGTACAGAAGGCAGAACACCTCCTCTCTTTTGGGGTAGGTATTAATTTATGTCCCTAGACTCATCTACCGGTTTTCATTAAGTTTCTTCTAACTTTTCTTTAAGTTTCAAAAATCTGGCAATTTTTTTCAAGTTTTCTACCTTTCTCTCACGTGTAGCTGAAGTGGGCCAGGACCTTCTTCACCAGTTACCAGCAGGGAGCCACCGGAGAAATGAAGGTATCTTGCCTGCGATTCTCACTGAAACTGTAAAACCAGTTGGGGTTTAAAGCATAAACTGTTTAAGCAAGTCTGGGCACCCACAAGTGTGATTTTAGGTTATTTCCTGCAGTTTGTGTAATTGTATAACATAAAGAAAATGAATGGTAATTATAATATTATGCACTATCTGCTGTGACTCAGGAAGATGGCTTCACATTTATACTCCAGTCACATTTAGAGAGGGCCATGGAAACTGTTACTTATATGAATTTGTGTGTAGACCTGACCAGTGAGTGTCTATGCTTCCAGGTATTGCTCTGGACGTGCAACGAGGAGTAGGAGGAGGAAAGCAGCAGACACGTCCACCTACGATGAAACAGGAGCTGGTTGTGTGAGAAACAAGAAAATACTTATTATTAAGGGGACAGCACGTCATTCACAGCTCAGAGGAGCCACAGCACTCTTTTCCATGAGCGTTGCACCACAGGCTCACTTCTGTCCTCTTCTGACTTGGAGACATTAGTCATCCAATAAACCCACTGAACAAAAAAGTGTCAAGAGACTTGCAGATTTTAGGATTAGATGGGGGCCTACAGTCTGAAATCTTGCTAAATCAAGCCACAGATTTCATCAGCAAATCCCAAATATGGAGAGGCAGCTCGTTTTGGAACTAGAGCGTATCTCAAGAGCCATCAAGCCTTGATGGAAAACAATGAAGAATTCACTGCTTCCCTTGGCAAACTGCTCCCTCTCTGGAAATCTCATTTCTAGTTTGAATTTTGCTGATTCAGACCAATGGATGATCTCATGCCCTCTCGTATCAGAAATCTTCACCTTCTGCCAGCAATTAGCGGCTTTCCCCAAACTCCGTATCACCACCTGGTTGATAAAGCAGACTGAGATGTTTTATTTTCTTGTTAGAAAACAACACTTTTGTCACCATCAGATCATTTCAGTAGCTCTTCTCCAAGCCCTTTCCAATACACTAAAACACTTTTGTGAAGTTTTCAGGAATGCTCATCAATACCATGGATGGAGTGAAGACCTAGAGAGGAGGTGATGACATCTTTCTGGATAACACAAACCAGAAAACTTGGTGGTTTTAGCTTCATCACCACACTGGAGAAGGATGATCTTACCTAAACGGGAAAACTCAGTTTTTCCCCAGATACTGGTCTCTAGC